ACTGGGGGGAGAATGTTCTGTGAAAATGGAGTAAAGGTGGGTAGTCAGCAAGACAGAAAATTGAGTTCTCAGAGCACCACTAAATTAGTGTGACCTTGGATCTTTCACCTTTCTGCTTCCAATTCCTCATCTGTAAAATGGGGATATAATGACAATCTTACAGGACTGCTGAGAATAAAATGATAAAATATTTGTGTCTGTGTTATGTACACTGTACCATACTAATTAAATGGGAGAGGATGCTATTAATAACAATGATGACAGAAAGATCAGGCCAGTCCTAAGATTTCTCATCTTGAACAGAGATTCTTTTTACTCTACACAAAAGAAATTAAAAACCCTTTGTAAACTGTAAAGCACTTACACATGAAAGAAACTGTTAGGAAGACTGAGGTTGGAGATGGGATCTGTCATGGGAGAGGACATGGCTGACCTGGGAGGGTAGTGGCACTCTGTCTCCCCAGACGCATTCCTACAAAAGTGTTTGGAATGACCAAATAACCTTGGCTGGCCACTGAACTGGCAATTCTCCAGAAGGCCCTGCATAGGCAGATGTCCTACCAGGGAAACTGGAACCAGATGTACTCAAGATCTCAAAAGAAATTAATGGCAATAAGACTTTGGGGTAAAAATATCTGTGTGCACTGAGCTTGCTCACTCAACTCCCTTTCTATCTAAGGATCATTTAGGCTTAATTATAGAGTTCAGGCGTTCATTGGGTTTTTGATTAATTTTCTTTTCAGCTGGAAGAGGGTGTGAGTGCAGTGGGTCTGTGTGTGTGTGTGTGTGTTTACATCTTTCTTTGCAACTCACTTGGGAGTTGGCTCTGGCAGGGTTTAATTGTGCCCTCAGATCTAACAAGATCGTTCAGTGTGCCAACTGGGGCTCAGAAAGCCATTGTTTCCACTGTCTCTGCCCCACGGGCTGCTCCTGCCACACTGAGGGATAGCGGGTGGCAGGGCCTCGCTCAGCTGGGACCTCAGCTGCGGGAGGCACGCTTTCCTCCCCCTTTTTGTACTTGTGGTTTTTAAGGGATTCTGAGACCAGGAGAGCAGATTTCCTGCTCTACTAATTGCCAGTACTGTGCTGAGAGCTGCCGAGTGATGGCCAGCTCACCCACATTGCAGCCCCTGCCAGGCATTTTTCTGGGCCAACCTCCCTGGGGATTGCAAGGTTCTCTGCATAAGAAAACAATGTCTGTCCTCTTATTTTTAATATGTCCACTTAGTAGATTGGTAGAGACTACAAGGCTGTGTAGGCAAAAGTGACTTGATTTCTCCTTTCTTTTCTTCTCTTTTGTGCTCTCTAGGCAGGGACTAACCAGGAAAGCAGCACAGTATAGTACGACATGGGATTTGGAGCCCCAAAGGCCCAGTTTGAATCCTGGCTCCTGACATTTCCTGTTTCTGTGCCTATGGATATGTAACTTAACCTCTTTGGGCTCAATTGATTATCTGTAAAATGGGGATGATAATAATAATAACAAGAATATTACACTGCTTGTAGGACTGTCTGGAGATGAGAAAATGCATGTAGAAGTGTTTTGTGAAACACTCTGTTAAATCATAGTTCTTTTATTTTACTGCTCAGGATTGCTGCTTAGAACATGACTGACCTATGAGATTTCATTCCTAGCACCAGGACAGAGGGAGTTGTAAAAAGGTCCATGGAATAAGAGGTGGAAAGGGGACTAGTTTCCAAGCTTCCCATGTGCTATGGCCATGGAAATGACTGGAGTGTAAAATGCATGCAGCAAAGAGCTCAGATAAAGGATTCAACCTCAGAAGAAGCTGTCATGGATAAAGGAAATTTGGAACACTCATTTTCAACATAACAGTAATAAGGATTTTGCCCTGTTCTTTAAAGGATGAATCTAATTGTCTCTAGTTTTTAAACAAGTCAGTTTGTGGGTGAATGGCTCAGGGATGATGATGGTGTTTTGGCTGGAGACACGGGGAAACTGTTAGATTCCCAGTAGGTGTGAGATATTTGGGAGACTGGGGCCTTCTTATGGTTCTTCTGTTGATTAGGTATGTGACCCTGACTAGATGACCCAATTTAACTGGGCCTCAATTTCCTTTGGGATCATAGACTAAAAGGTCTTGAAAGTGACTTAAGAATCTAAGATTGGAATGGCAGGTTAGCTTGGTTGGTTAGAGTGTGGTAGTATAACACCAAGGTCAAGGGCTTGGATTCTCATACCAGCCAGCCAAACAGAAGAACAAACTAACAAACAAAAAATCTAAGACCTGATGAAATGCTCTTTCCTACACAGGAATTCAAAACGCTTATGCCACTAAGAAACTCTGTGTGTGTGTGTGTGTGTGTGTGTGTGTGTGTGTGTGTGTGTGTGTGTGCAGAATTCAAACATAGCTCTGAGGCCACCCAACTAAAACTTAATCAAGGCACTGAATGAGCCCCTTTAAACTGATGGCATCTGGTGTCAGATCCAGGCAATTTTAAGGGAAGGAAGGCTAGATGGCAGCATGGAGGTGACCTCAACAGAAATTTCAAGGTGAATTGTCTCTTGTAAGAGAACTTTCATTTGGCAATATCCTGACTAAGCTGAAAGGTAATGATCCACAGATCACAGGAAGAAGAGGGGTTGTTTCCTTGTAAAACAAAGATAACTTTAAAATAATTGGCTACAGGGCAATAGAGCATTCTGCCAGCTGATTTCAGAATTGAGAGACTCGACTGTAGAGTCCACCACAGTATCAATGACAATAATCATAATGTGTATTTACCTTTAACTTTTATAACCACTTTCTCATTTATTTTTCTCACTTTGTCATTACACAATTTCCCAGAAAACTGCTGTGGGGTAACTTCTTTTAAAACCCAGTAAAGTGTGATTTTTTTTTAGGGGGAACAAGTCTAGCCAAGTATGCTGCACCTTGCTTTATAAATACAGATATGCCCTTGAAAAACTTATGTGTAAATATAATTGCATAAGTCATATCTTATTTTAATGGCTAGGGGAATTTGAAAACAAAATCTTGTAAAGGATTTTGTAATGTAATTTTTTTTTCTCATTAATCTGTTGCTTGTTACAATTTCGGATTTTTAAATATCAGGTTTTCTTAAAGTGGGGCCACATGGATTAGATTCCAGGATCAGTGTCCACTCTTCAGAATCCCATAAGGGTAGGATTCAATCCAAGGTAGAGATTGCTGTTTCTGATGTCAGCGTGAAAAGTAAGCAGCTTTATACTTCAGCCATGGAACTCTTTGGGGCTACCTCTCTCATAAAATGTAAGGAAGCATGGAAAGAGACAGAGGAATCCAAATGTAGCAGCTCAATTATTTCTAAATGGAATGTCCCCAGGTCTCCCGTCACTGATGTGTCATTAATGTGCTGTTATAAATAACATGCCATCAATAACTAATCTATAAGAGAGTAGCAAATGGTTGAAATGTGAAGTTAACACTACATAACTTGGAGTGCATCTGTTAGCACTTTCATGTAAATAAGTACCACCCTCCCTGGGACTAGAACCGGAAAGAAATTAGACTAAATTGCATTTTTATTAAAAGTAATAAATAAGTCCTCTTGCTTCTGCTTTTTTCTGGTAGAAGACAGGTCTTTGGAGTCAACCATGGGATTGTAATAATTGCTTTGAACCTCAACTCTCTCACCGCTGAAATTAGGCTGGCAGTACCTACTCATTAAACCCACAATGATACTGTAAAAATTTCATAATCAGTTTGCACGGAGGGTTTTTGAACAAGCAACCCTATATATATCTATGACAATTTGCACTATTGAGAAAAAAAGAAAAGCTCTTTTTTGAGGGGTGGGGAAGAGTGAGGGTGATTTAAGCTATAAAAGCTGAAAAAAATCCTCATAGTAAAGACTGGAAACTCTTTAAAAAGTTTTTATTGGACTGACTAAAGAAAACCTGGCCTCTAATCTTTATTGGCTGGATCTCAGCAATACAGCCTTGCTTAATGTGAGTAGCTCAGATTTTCATTAAGGAGCTCTGAAGTGAAACCTTTAGAAAGCTCTTTCTCACAAATGCTCATGCAGTCAAAGTTGAGCTTCTGTGAAAAAGAGCTAAAATAAACATATGGGTATATAGTGTATGCACAAAGTTGTGTATGCACAAAGCTGCAGGTACATATGCAGGCAGTGCTGGCAAATCCGCTAGTAACTATGCTATATGCATCCTGACATGTGTGTGTGTGTGTGTGTGTGTGTGTGCATTCCTACATGTGTGCATTCTATGTGTTGAAGTCATTCAGAAAGTAAAAACAAAAATTAAAATACCATTCTTATTTGTTAAAAGTCTGAAAACTCTACATGGACCCATGGCTTATTAATTTTTCTTTAAATTTAGGGCTGGTGATGGGAACAGAATAAGCAGCTGTAAACAAAATCACATTTCAGTTACACTAAAAACAAGGTAAGGGCCCCAGACATCACAGCTACTGCAGAATACAGAAACTACACGTCCAAATTCTATGATTAGAAATACTTTGAATAGCAACCTTTTTGGAAAGAGGTGGGTAGATGGAACTAGTGAGAATCCCCATCGGTTAGTTCACATCAGCACCACGGACAGTTCCGAGGAAGGTTTTCACCCCCCTCAGAATAGAGCAAATACCAACATTTCTCCAGTTATCTAAGCGTTCCTTTCATTCTGGTGAGTGTGTTGACAATCTGACAATCAAACTAATAAATGCACAGGTATTAATTTGTAATAACAACTTATTCTCTCCTCTCATCACCCATTCTTTCACCACCTGTCTTTCATTCCACCCGTTTTCCCCAGCACCCTCCAGTGAGACAATGGGACTGTCTGTCTTACGAACACCTGGTGTGGATGTTTTCACTCCCACTTCTAATTGGCTGGGAAGCAGCACTTGCCACAGGCACTGTTTAATTTTGTTTCCATCCCCTGCATCTCATGGGAAAGAAATGGTCAACAGTTCAGATAAAAGAATCATCTTGGTCAGCTCCAAAATATGGCTACTTGCATGGTAATCACAGCAAGTCTGTCAAATCAGTGATTTCTTTATTCCTAAAAGGAAGTGCTTTTTAAAAGATTATGGTCTACCACCCAAGGAGCAGCCCTGCTCTTCACAAGTGGCTGCAAAGGCTGGCAAACCGAGAGGTCTGCTTTGGCTCAGAAACTCAGTTAGGCTCCTGCCACCTCCCTGCGTGTCTCCACAGCATGTGCTCCACACACAGTCACACCAGTCTGCTTCTACTTAGGAGGGATCACAACCAGAGGTGGCCCCCGCTTAGGCCTCCACATGAGGACCTGGGCATCATTGGCATTGGGTTTCACTAGTGCGTTAGGGGGGATGGGTTCCATCCGGCTCAGGATCCGGGGTTGCTCCTGCTGAGTCCTGCCCACCAGCCGGGCCCGTTGCCCCAAGAGCTGAAGAGGGTCCACCTCAATGTCTACCCTCATCCTCCATTTGATGGTCTGCAGAATGATCTTCTCCTTCGTGGTGGTATTCATGGCCACCAGCCAGGTAGTGAAACTTTGGTCCCTCTTGATTCTTGTGAGCAGTGGCACATTGCTGTCGCTCACTGGCACCGCCCATGTCACACTGGGGTAGAAGTTGTCATTCATGCTGACGGAGAACCTGGAGATCTTGTTGGTGGGGCCAACCAGGGTCACAGTTTCTGTGGTGTTCCCGTACCAAGGGTAGCTCACCCCATCTGAGTCACTGATGGCTTTTACTCTCCCTTCCCTCAAGTCGGGCAGTTCCCAGCTTGACCTGGCAAAGCAGAAGAGATGCACAAGAAAAGAAGAGGCTGAATAAATTTTTCAAAAGCTGGAGAGGTGCCCATCACTTACTAACATAGTCAACTTGGGCAAAATGGGAAGTTCAGAGGGGAATTCAGGTCAAAAAGTTCTAGGCTGTGCTGTTTCAGGATTAAATGAGAACAAATCAAAACAAAAATAAAAAAGCAATGCCAAAACAAGTTAAATAAAACTATAGCTGACCTAATTGAAAGCAGGAAGCTCACAGAGAAGGTTGTGAGATGACAGAGAGATATCAACTAGTTGGGATGATGGTAACTAGCAGTTCAGAGGCATTCCATTGCAAGGACTGCTTCCTTGGGAAGCAGGAGGGTATGTAAGGTTTGTTTATTGGGAGCAGGTGGCAGTTGAAATCTGATGCACTTGGAAGGAAGTAGCAGGAGGAATGGAAGGCAAAAGGGAGCAAAGTTTAAGCTTACACTAATTTCTTAGGAAATCACAGTGGTGGAATTTCCACTCAACAAAGAGCATTGTTTAACTTTCAGCCATCAGCCAATCTAGCACTTAGAAAACACAGGCACAGAAAATGATAACGCAAGGAGACAACAGTCACCTTCTGGAAGCCACCTGAATGTGAAGGTTGTACTACAGGCTGGCATACACAGTCTGTAATATGCTGCCTCTCCTCTGGCTTCAAGTTCAGCCTGGAAGCCTCATTGCTTAGTCTGGTAAACTTGCTATTCTGGGCACTTGCCTTCTCCTCCTGGCTGCCTCTGACCTTGTACAGCAGGAGGGAGGAGACATGTGCCCCACTCTTAGCCCATGTGTCTCCCTCCTGCCATGGACTTTTGCCAGTAATAATAGTAGTAGTAGTAGTAGTTGACACTTATTGAATGCTTACTCTATCCCAACCACTGTGCTAAGTACGTCATCTCAGTTAATGTTCACAATATTCCACAGGATAAATGAATTTTTATTTCCAATTTACACATGAGGGGTTGGAAGCTTAAAGATATTAAGGTACATGCCAAGGATCCTACAGATTATAAGACGTGGAGTTAGGAGATGTCTGACTCCAAAGTCCACGTTTTTTTTTTTTTGACCGGCAAGGGGATCATAACCCCTGGCTCGGTGTGGTCCGTACCATGCTCAGCCATCGAGCACACCAGCCATCCCCATACAGGATCCAAACCCGCAGCCTTGGCGCTCCCAGCGCCGCACTCTCCCAAGTGAGCCAGGGGGCCAGCCCCAAAGTCCATGCTTTTGACCACTATATCATACTGCCACCCAAAATTCCCTTACATGTTGCTGAAGAAAGCCAGAATGGAGGGGACTCAGGCTGCCCAGTGAGCTAGCAGCTCCCAGAGTAGCCATGGGGAGCTGGACTGAACCCTAAAAAGGGCAGAAGTTTAGTTACCAGAGCCTGGCTTTGCATTTTCTGTATTTCCGTTCCCAGGATGAGGAAAGATGATTGGTAATAATGCATAAGAATTTAATAAATAAAGAAAGGAATGAGACTGTTTCATTCATCAGCTAAGAGGTTGTGGCCTTGTTTGATATAAAGTTTTTCCACCTATGAAGTGAAGAGGACCCTGCAGGGCATCATACAAATGGTCTAAAAGGGAGCAACATTGTCAAGTTGATGCTAACATCTCAGCATCCCTTACCATCACATGAGGACATAAAGACATTAACTGCTGCCTCCCACTGGTCCCCCATAGCACCTCCTATGCCAGTCAGCCCAAGCCAGAAGGGACGGGAAGGCTGGACTGCCTGGGAAGGAGGTGAGCCCACACCATAAGAGCCTATTCTCTTGTCTCCATGGCCTTGATAACTGCTGGGAATAATTGCAGTGCATCATGGCTGGCAGAAACTAAGTAATAGGAATTTACCTGATACAGAAAGTCAGGGAGAGCTACTTTTGTAACATATGCTAATGTAGCTGTGCTGAAGGCAGGAGCTCAAAGCTAATTCTATAGCCATTTCTTACTGTACAAAAGGGAGCAAGTGTTACTGGAATGGGATACAATCACACGAGGGTCAGAGGTGTGGTGAAGACCCAATCTGCTTGTTTGGTTCATGACGTGGCCACACTGGAGTCAGCTTTGGTGCCTCCAGCCAAAGGGCCTAGACAATTATTCAGTCATCAGGCATTTATTTTCTGTGTTGCCTAAATCTTGTTTTCCATTTTGGCTAGTAATCAGGCCCTACTAACCTTTGGGTTCCTCTGTGGGATTAGAGGACAGTTATTCCCAGCAGTGCCAGGATCTTCCATCTTAAATACTGTGCTAACTGCACACTGCCTGGGGAACTTGGTTTTGGGTGGATGCTCGTTTTATCCTTTTAAGCACTGTTTATCTTGCCAGTTAATTTAGTTACCTTTTCTATAGAAACTTTACAGTTTATATTTTTGCCCCATTCTTCCTGCCCAGAGCCATGCAAGCAGACACTTGCACCCAGTATTGAGAGTCAGTCTTGTGAGAAAATCACAAAACTTAGTTTGGTGTCAGGTTTTCTCAAAAACAGAGAGAATACAATAAAGGTGCACTCTTAAGCCTGTCACAAGAGAGAAGAAAGAGACCTTTTTCTTGGAAGATTCTCTGGAATAGAGAAATATGACAGGCTTCCTAATCATTACAACAAAGACACGTGGCCAAGTGCAGTCATTGGGCACAGTGACCTCAGGAGTCTACACATTGGCTCCATCTACACGGCTGTCACATCTGCGACTGCTCTTTTGGAAATTCCTTGGGTCTGAGGTATGTTCTCTTTCACAGGTCTACAGACCCTAGGACTACATCATTAAGGGATGGTTTGATTTTGGAAATAGTCAAAATTCATTATGACTTAAGTGTAGTGAATAGAGAGTGGCTTTCTATTTGAAAAGTATTATATATTTATTTCTTTTACAAAAGATAGATACTAGTGTGCATCCCAAGGCAGTGGCTTTTCTTTCTTTTTTCTTCAAAAAGAGAGTTGTGCTTATAAAATGCATGACTGGTTTATATAGTTGATAAAATGGCTTTGATAATGGTTTTCAGAGAAGTCCCTGAAAAGTTCCAAGAACAATAGCACCACTGGAGATACTCATTGACCACTTAGGGGACTACTTTGAATAGGATGCCAGAGGCATTTCAAATTCTGTATGACCCAAGCTGAACTCATCATCTCACCATACACCAGGCCCTCTTCTCCTGTCTCTGCTGCAGGGGGTGGTGCTCTACCCACCCAATCTTCCAGGTCAGAAGTGGGGGTCATCTTTGGCTCCTCACACCCCCTCACCTAGACTCCCACAGCGACTATATCACCACATCCTGTGATGCTTGAGTCTATCTCCTTTCCATCCACCTCTCACTGCCTTCATTTAACCCAAGCCCTCAGCATCTCTTACATGGTCTACTATAATTGCCCATAACTGGTCTCTCTGTATCCAACCCTGGTACCTCTCAAATCCATCTTTTAGGCTACACAAAGGTTAAAACAGGCAAATCTCATCATGCCTTTTCTATATATAAAACACTTCCAATGCTCCTCTACATAGACTTCTCTGGCATCAACCATAGGATAAAATTCAAATTCCTTAATAGGACAGATGGGCTGTCAATGATCCAGCCTCCCCATGCCCATATACCATACTGTTTCTCACCTCTGCTCCTTTGCTCATGCTGTGCCCTCTGCTTATCCTGCTCTTTCTCCTATTAAAGTTTAACTGTATCTAACTACTCATTCCTGAGAATCATTACATACATCAACTCCTCTGGTAAGCCTTCTCTTCTGTATGCCCATGAATATATCCAGATCTACAGGTGACAGATAGTATTATAACCATTTATTTATGTGTCTGTCTTCCCCATGAGCTTATGATTTCCTTGGGCCTGGGATAGTGACTTACTTTTGAATCATTAGCATCTAGCACATTGTTGGCACACAGTAGAACTTAGCAAATATTTACTGAAAGAATAAATATTTTATTTCAATTATTTTCACGCCTATATATACCTGGAAACTTGGTGGAACTTGTATACAACAAAGTGTTTTTATCACAGTTTTTCCCTTTATATATTCTCTTACCTTAAAAAATAATCTAACATCTAGCATTCATTTAGAGTCTATTATTAGAATAGCACCACACCTTGCACTGAAAGTTATTTATCCTTAAAGGGGGGAAGGAAAGCCAGTCTTAAACAAAACCAAATGGATTAATGAACATGAACGTATTTCAGTGACTATTCATGCCATTATATAACTACATACAAAAATTAGTGGCACAGACTCTGAGCAGTATAGGAATTCAGAAACATGGACATCCATACAGGCTATCACAAGGGAACTTTGCAGAGAAAATAGGATATGAATTGTTGGGAATAAAGACAGGCATTTTCAAGTGCCGGGGAGCCTGAGGCATGGAGCCAGGGACTGGACCCTCCCCTCCCACAACCAGGCACACTGCCAGTGCCTTGGGGCCTGACCAGGGTCCTGAGGTATGGATCCGGGGACTGGGCCTCCCTCCCACAAACAGGCACACCACCAGCATCTCAGGGCCCATCGAGGGATCTGAGGCTTGCAGCCGTGGACCAGACTCCCTCCCACAACCAGGCATACTGCCAGTGCATCAGGGCCCAACTGGAGTCCTGAGGTGTCAAGCTGGGGACCAGACCCCCCTCCCACAACCAGGCACACTGCCAGCACCTTGGGGCCTGCTCGTGGTCCTGAGGCATAGAGCCAGGGACTGGACTCCCCCACACACAACCAGGCACACTACCAGCACCAAAGAGCATGCCAAAAACATCATCTCCATGTGGGTGACCCACCACAGCCAACACAATAAACATGGCTGCCACAACCACCACGCAGATGGTCCGCCAGCCACTGGAGTGCATTGACAAAAGGAGAGTCACCAGCAAAGACCAAAGAAAAGAATAGGATGTCTCTCTCTACAAAGCCTATTCCAGAGTGACAGAAGAAGCATCTGTTCTATGATAATACTGGGGGACCTGAACACATCTCTCAGCA